AATTAATTTAGCATGTTCCTATATCTTATGTGCATGATTGTATATTTAAACTTATTTACCTTTAATTTAGTAATTTTTTAATAAGTGTATTGAGCAGTGTGTTAAACTGAGTATGTACCAATCACTGTCCGGATATCTATCTTTATATTCATATATATACATAATATTAAATAGTATCCTCAAGAATTTAATAGGCATTAAATTTTGTTATTTTTGTTTTAATTATAGAAGAAATTTTGTTAAAAAATTACAAAATATTATTTTTACATTAAAATGTAATAAATGTATTTATTATTTTTATTTTTTAGTTTCTTTCTCTTCTCAACTTATTTTTCTTTTCTCAGATATTTTATCATTATTAAAATGAACAAACCCCAAGTTTTATAGAAGGTAAAAATAAAAGATTACAATGCATATAAATTACTAAATGCATGTTAAAAGCTTGGTACATTTATACAGAGGTAACCCTCTATCTTCTACATTAACTTACAATTAATAAGTGTTTATTATATGATTTTAATAGTATAGTAATTTTATATTTTAAAATGCATTGAATGTATTATAAATAATATTATGGAGATATTATATATTTTGCTACCTCTTTTCCTTTATATTCTTATTTTTTATCCCCTTACTTGTACCATCATTTTTATTCCTGTTAGATAAACGTTTTATTAGGAGGATTAATTTTATGGTGTGGTATTAAGCCTATCATTTTGATCTCATCCTTCATTCACTCATCTCCCTAATGTCATTTCTAGGCTAATTCTAGCAATAACTAGATTGTTGTTAGAAGTAAATAGTCTCATAAGAGTTTTTTTTTCTTTTTTCCTTTTGCTCTCCCACCTAACCAACTAATAAAATTCAGTAAGGCTGTTCTATTTTTTTTTTTTAACATTTATTTTATTTTCTTATGTTGATTTTCTCTTTGCAGGGACTTTGTTGCATCTTTTTTGATTATTTGTTGTTCTCGCATTGGGTGATTTGTTTATTCTACATCTTTTCTTACCATCAAAGGTAATATTGGTTTTATTTCATTAGTAACTTCTTATTCTTTTCGTAAAAACAAAATTGATTAAAAAATTTAGTGTAGTTTGATATTTTTGGTGGCTTTTTAATTATGGTGGGCTTTCAAATTTTAGTTTGAAATCTAATGTTGGTTTTGGTTTGATGGAAATGGTATTATCTAGAAAAGTGTTAATTATGAGGTTCTTTAAGATTTTTTGTATATACTAAATTAGGTAAATTTATATTGCCTATGCTAAATTTCTTCATTAGTTTTCTTTTATTTTTCCTATTTCTCTTCTACCCAACTGATTAATGAAATTTAATGATGGTGTTTTATTTAGAAAAAGAAAAACTTTATTTTCTTATATCGATGCTCTTTATGTACGGAGTTTGCTTCCTAATAAAAAAAAAAAAAACCATTGTGTTTGATGTTTGTATTGGAGAATAAATAGAAAAAAGAGGTGTAAAGGCTTAAATTAATAATTAATATAATTTAAAACTAATACAATACAAAGAGATTCAAATATTCTTAATATCAGTGATATTAAGACATGTTATAAAAAAAAGATAAAATGATATGTAAAAGATCAATTAAAATTATTAGTTTTATAAGTAAAAAAGATGGCAAAGGAATCTAACAAATTAAAAATATATATTTAGTTTGAGGAAAAAATACATTTAGTTGATAAAAAAAAACGTATAAGATAACTAATTCATAAGAAAATGTATTAAAAGAAAATGTATTAAAAGAAAATGTATTAAATATACTTATTAATAAATTTATTATAGAAAATAGTGCCTATCAACCTTACCTCTTAAAAATTAAGAAAAAAATCATCCCAAAATTACGTCGTTTTAATAAATTTTTATTGAAAAAAACTAAACTATCATATTTTTAAAACATGCATTAAGGTGATTTTTGTTCTTTTTT